ATGTTATTTGTTGGTTAAAAAACTTGAAAATTTAATACAAGGCTCCTAGTATATTGTTTCAAAGGCAGATGGAAAAAATTAAAAATCTTTAGTCACAGTTTTTTTTTTATAAGCATTTAAAGTTCAAATATTGACAAAATACGTAAAAATGACGAAAATGTGGAAATTATTTTAAGTTAGAAATTCATAAAAAATGTTGTTTTTAAATCTAAGATTTTAAAATTATATACAAGATTCCTCATAAGTTTGTCTACCTTTATCAAAAAAAAAAATGTTCAGAAGAAAGTCAAATTAAATTTTTATGAGCGTTTGAAATTCATATTTTTACAACATTTGATATTCACTCGATTTCTCATGTAACGATTTTCTGTTTTTGTTGTAATTAAATAACAAATGGCTGTAGACCCTTGAAAATTTCACTGAATGTTGATATTAGCATTTTCTAAACACTATAAAATTTTGAAAATAATTTGACTCTTTTTGAGATGTTTACGGACATTGTCAATTTTCAATTTTCTTAGTTTTTTTTTCTATTAATACCAATACAATTTTATTTATTGGGCGAAAAAGCTTGAAAATTTAATACAAGGCTCTTTATATATTTTTACAATAGCAATTATAAAATATTTAAAATACATAGGCACAATTTTTTTTTATAAGCATTTAAAATTCGAATTTTGACTCAGATATGTTGGTATTAATATGTCTTAAACCAAGACTGACATACCGTCTCCACTCAGAATCGTTTTTCTTATACAATGATATTGTATCATTGAATTCAAATTTAATTTCATCCATTATACGGTGACCCACTTGTAACCTACTGTACAGCAGAGCGACATCCACTTACCCGCTTTTTTGGTTATAAAAACAGAAAAATTTAATTATGTATGAATGCGTTTATTCGTTATATTATCTATACATTGTTATTTATCTTATTTATATATATATCTTACAACTTATAACTTATTATAATTTGAACAAAATAACCTATTTGTATGTTGTGTATAAAGTAAATTGTTTTCTACATTTTGAAATCTGACCGAGGTTAAGGCAATCCTTAGCAATCCGAGCAACTAGACTCAGTCGCGAAAAATCTACTCACCTAGATAAAGATTTTCCTACCCAATTCAGAAACACCGGTTTTTCACAAAAACATTATTGTTTTGTACCATTACTACAGGTATAGGTAAAAAATGTTGTTTTGCAATTTTTATTTAAATTGTTGACATTTTTTTAAACTAATATTATGACACTGGTAAAAACTTATTTGGTGTATTTTTTTATAAATTAAATATTGTTTAATCTTTAACTTCCACTATTAAGCAGTTACTAATAACTCGGTAATACACATTCGATTAAGAGGACGATATACCCGCATGTTTTGTCTCCGTCTTACAAGAGCGTGACACAACAAATTTTACGTTCTGCAGATCACGCTTCACTCAGTTAGCAGTCATTAGTAAAATTAAAGGTGAGATTATTACGGAGGGCAATATTATTACGGATAATTACTGGGCTTTCTATTATATTTTTATTTTAAAGAGAGTTATGAATATTTCAAGTTGTACAAACAATTTACAATTTTTGAATACTCATAACTCTCTTAAAAAATTAAAATATAATAAAAAGCCCATGAAAAGCCGTCCGTAATAATCTTACCTTTAATTTTAATAAGAAGTCAATTCACTATAATTTTGAAGCTAACTGAGCGAAACGTGATCTGCCGAACGTAAAATTTGTAATGTTACGCTTTGTAAGACGGAGACAACACATGCGGGTATAGCGTCCTCTTAATAAAGGAGATGCATAATATGAACCAGTTCCTAGTATTTTATTTTTGATTGTTAAAACAAATAATAATAAAACAGTAATGTATGAAATATTCACAATTATTAAGTATATTGTCATTAGTTAATAGACAATAATCAGTATCAAATTTAATTTAATTTAATTTAATTAAATCCTATGTACGCCACTGATTGATTTAGATAATTTATTAAGACTGATTGGCATAAGTGCTAATTATTATTGGTCATAAATTATTCACCGCATGAATATCAATCACAGTTATTTCATAGGGATCTTACATGGCTGATCACGTCTTATCTGAATTGTAGTAGTCTCAATATTCCTTGTTTGTAGATTAGTTTAATTGGTACTTATGACTTACCATAGCATAATTGATCTAAATGCTGTTTTAGTAATGTAACAACATGATGAATAGTGAATACTAAATAACTAAAATAATAATAATTCTATCTATTAATTATATTAATACCAATAGTTGGGTTATGTAATTATTCACTCTTGATTTCAGATTTGTACATTTATTAATTATTAATAATTATTCGTTTATTACTAAGAAATTATTTGTAAGTCTTTCTTGTTTTAAATACAAATAAAAATAATCCATATTTAATTTGAATAAATAATCGATGATATTTGTTTTCTTGTCTGTATTATATTTTTTCCTATGATCTACCAATCATAACTGTGCTAGGTAACATTTTATTTAAAAAAAAAAACTGTTCTCTTTTTGTATCATTGAACTCCCTAACCCTCTACTTCGTCGCAAATTCAGCCTTAAAGGAGTATAATATATGTTCTTTATACATAAACATATGTATATTTTAAAGAAATCTTAAATAAATAAAAATATTATGATTACTAATATTTATTTTTTCATTAATTATACTTGTTGTAATGATATTAAAATAGTTATTATATGAGTACCTGTTGGTTGTTATAAGTTACGATAAATATTATTTCGGTAAACTTCTACTATGATCAATTTTATTATTTTCCTGTAAATTAAATGTATGATGAAATCATGGCGTGACACCGGTATAAACACAAATCAACAAGTTACAAAGTATAAAGTTTTCAATGCATGCTTGTATCAATTATCATTATTAATATAATAGTTATTAATAACTCATTATAAGCTTGTGCGTGAACCGGAATCGTGCTTGTGCTCGGCTGATTGAATCACGCAACCGGCGCAAGTTTATTATTATATTATACTATATTATTGTAGTGTAATATTGACATATTGTTATAGTATATAATGCTTAAAACTAACATTGAATGTTACCTTTTTGGACTTGGTCATTGGTTTGGTGACGACAACAAATGACGATAACGATGGCGATGGCAGTGGTATTTGACTCCGAGTTTTCGCTGTAGTGCTGAGGGCGTCTGACAACTGTGAATCCGATCGATAAGCGTCTGCGCAGTAGCTTAAGTTTTCAGTGTAACGTCGTGTTAAGTGCATTAGTGTCGCAGTGAGTAACGAAACATTTATTAGTTTATTACATAATTTACACATATTATCAAGCAGGGATCTAGTCTCATAATAGTTTTCGTTTCTATTTATATATGGATCACCTATTGATGGGTTGTTTACAAACATTCAACTCTGAAATCACGAAAAAGTGGAAACTCATCGCTTGAACGTTCAATATGTGGACATTTTAAAGAAAATACATTATAATAAGTTAGATAGTTGTTGTGTTATAGTTTGAGATAGAAATTGTATCATCAGTTCTCAATTACCAAACATATCTATAGTTTTGGACACACTACATTCAAATTTTGATGCCAGCCCTATTATTCGGTGGGATAAAGGAGGCCAAAAAGAAGTGTCACCAGTAACTATTTACATAAGAAACTATATATTACAAGAACTAACAGCACTGAACACTCAGTATTGATATGTATGTACAATACGTAAAATCATTAAATAATTTTTTGATTTAGTAAAATTGTATTGAAATAATTAATAAGTAGTTTATATATTTTTTTTTACGACTCATTTTCTAGAAATTGCCTACAATTTATAGTTTTATTTTCTTCAGTAATCTCGTTTCAATTTTTGAGCTATTAACTGCTTCTGAGTTATTAACATCGATATCACTGCAGATTATATCAAATAATATATTGTATAATATTTGTGACCATATCAATAATAATTGATCACGAAGATCAAAACAAAAATTTAATTGTATTTTATACATTTAATAATCTTGAATTTTAAATACAATTTATTATGATATGATGTCCGTTGATTGACGAAAGACGAAAAAAAGTAGTTGTGAACGATAAGCAGAGGTGGACTGGCCCAAGGTGCTATGAACCAAGTAACACCCTGGTCCCTGGGACTCCCTTCGTATTTATGACCTTGACACAATTACCTATGTCGAACCTTCCTTAAACTTAACTCTTATTGTAATGTAGAACTGTTTCAAAATTTTAGTAAGTTTAAAAAAATATGTATGAGCCCCTCATTAATTTTCCATCCTTGACAAAAAATAGTCAGCTCACCACTGAGTCAGCAATACTGCAGCTCCTTAATCCTTAAAATAATGTTATGTACCACCAGAAAAATAGTACCCTCTTGTCACCCAACCCATAAATTAGTCCCTAGCCTCAGCATGATATAGCAAACGTTGCCCCATTAACATTAACCAAGCTGGAAATATTGGAGTAGTTACTGCTCGATACTACACATTTGTTTAATAATGGGGATTAAAATAAAAACCAGCTTGTAGTTTTCAATAGTAAAACTGTTTATTGTTATAACAAAAAAAAAACAGCAAATGTATAATGTTATAAAATATGTACAATTAAATATATTGTCATTAATTAGTAGAACATTACATTTATCATAACATTGGATAGTATTATAAACCTCAATTTTTTTAAATCATTATAAGTTATAATCAATAATGGATACGTTTTGTATTAAGTCATAGCTCCCGTTTAAAAAACAATTATTTCGATAGCTATAAAAAATAACAAATGTGGATCCCTGTTTACAATTTACTTAAATTTAATTGAAATAATCGATGCAACATTTATAAAAAGAACTTTCAATGCAAAATAATATTGTTAAATTATATAAATTAAATGAATTGTAAAAATGTTATAGATAACGTGTAATAATAATTCACATGATATTTTAAAATTAGAATACAATATTTAATTATGTACTTAATGTATAATTGATAGGATTGCTCTCACTGCAATCAATAGGAAAAAGTCTTCAGTCGTAAAGAATAGTTAAACGGCAACGCCTTGTGATAAAGATTCTTTGTATCCAACACTGAAATAGAGGGGGTTATTAATAAATTATTTAAACGATTTGAATGATAAACACTTACACTACGTCATACAAACCAATATCCGAGAAAAAATGAACGCAAAGTCGATAATTATCGCGATTATTTAACGGGAATAATCCACTGAATGATCTTTGTAGAGAACTAAAATATAAATTTAATATTTACATAATATATGGAACACAAATATTTATGCATGTAAAAATGAAATACTCACGGATCCAGAATACGTTTTTTTAAATCATCTCGTCCCATAAGTGAAATCAATTCGTTGAACAACGCCTTTAAATATGCTCTGCCAGAATAAGTTACTTCATATTCAGTCAGGTATACAGCTGAAAATACTTTCCAAGAAATTGAATCTGAACATAGAAGTTGGGCAAAAAATTTGGCGAGGTTTTGTAGTTTGTTCGGGTTGCCAAGATGAATGACGGGCGTACAACGTTTGAAAATCAATTCTATTGAATCCACTATAGAAGGGTTTATTTGACAAAAACTCTGAAAATAAATAATATAGTTATACTGTGAGTGTAGTAGTAGATACAATACAACAAATATTAGTGCACATTTTAATAAAATTATTGTATTTTTTAATTTAATTGTTACTTGTATGATATCTCCAAAAATCTTATTGTAGACAGCACTATTTTCAAAGCAGCATTCCACATATTCAATGCACAGCTCCAATTCTTCACTCGGTATCGATTTAAATTGCATTAATTCATGAGCAATCTCAGATGGAGGTAATTTCAAATTTACTAGTAGACTAATAGTTTTTTTTATTGATACATTATCAATTGCTGATAACATGTTTGTCTCTGCCTCTGTGTAACAAAGAATTATTAAACATTAAGTAGTATTTATAATTTTTAACTATATATTATACATAATGTATACAGTATAAAAAATATAGTATAATTAAAGTAGTTATAAGGAGTAAAGGTTATCGGTGTATCACATATAACTGTTTAACTAGGTTTGTAAAAGATAGTTAGGCATTTTTTAATGTTGGTTAAACTTCATTTTCAAAAAATTTTAAGAGATAAGATACTTTTTTCACTATACCAGCACAAAAGTATAAAACTATAAATTTAAAATATCAAAAACGATCTTTAAGTTACTTTTTTCTCATTAATATTGGAAAGCAAATTTTTTTTTAAGTTAAATATTTAAAAATGTTAACATGTTTAAAGTTATATTGATCTTTTAAGGTTAATATTTTAATAAATACAGTGATGTATAAAATATCAAATGTGGTGTTATTAAAATGTTTTGATTATCATATGCATTCGTTTAGTTTTACGTTAGAAGTCATCATAGATTTTCCAAAATCCACCAGCCATTAATGCGTGATATGCATATTGACTCATTTCACTAAACTCGTACGAAATATACCATATAACTACAACAAATCTGAAACTTATGCAATTGTTTTATACTAATCTTCACACCATAAAATAAATATTCATTTTTTTTTTTACTTTATCAATTTTCCTAACTGTTGTACTGCTGTGGCGTGAAACTAGCAGCCCAAAAGTTAAAATGTTGTACCGTCGAAGACAAAGTTGAACACACTTAGAAACTTAGAAAGTTCTCTAACAATCTCTAACATAACTCTCTAATAAATCGGTTACACTGTTTTATAAGTTAACTGCTATTTTGTCAATCCTAAGTCACAAAGATTATTATATGAGCTTAAAATGAGCCTTATTCCATGTGTATAATATGATTTAAATATGATGTTTGTAGAAATTAATATTTTAAATGTAAAGAAACAAAAATATTGTTTTAAATATATTATGTTAGGGGTATAACTACCTATTATCTATTATTTAAACTCTTACCACAATCATCTTCATCATCAGCCATTTCATCAATATCATTGTTTGCAAAATAGTAAACTTTACTTTTTAACTTTAATATTTGCTTGGCATAAGTTTTATAAATTATTTCATTAGATTTGAAGTCTAGATCATACACGAAAAAATCTAAAGAAAAAAAAATATGAAAATGAAAATGAAAATAACATTATTTTAATGTGAATAATAAATAATTACCTAGTTCGTATTGTGGACTATAATTATGATTTAAATGCAATGAATGACTGAATTGTTTATTAGGATTTACTAAATAAAACTCCGGTTCGTCTTCGGAGTAATTTATTTTTGTCAATAAAATAACTTTTGCTAAACATTGGACCTAAAATACGAATATATTATTTAAAATAAACTGGCGTACTTCACCACTTCTTTTTTAGAAATTCCTAAAGGTCATACATATAAAATCATTTTAAGTAAGTGTATTAAAGATTACAAATAAAGTAGATTCCACTTCGAAATTCTCTTAATTTATAATATCTAGCTTACAATAGGTATATTATGAAATCGTGTTGTAAATAGGTAATAATATTTTAAAATATAATATGTATTAAAAAAAAATATTAGTTTCAAAAATGAATACACAAATAAGGAATCAACATTTTTAAATTAAGCTTGAAAACTATAAGTAAAAAATGTTGATGTGTTGTAATAATGTATTGATATTTGAATTAGGTAAAATATTATCTTTCATTTAAATATTAAGTATAAAAAGTATTAATTTACCGATTTATCGATCTGTTCATCTTCCGAAATATTTTGCAAAGTATCAAAAATGTTTTTTAAGTCCAGTTTATTGTGTGGATTCGAATTCAATTTTTTACCACATATTTTCATAATTTTGTCAACCATGGAAATTGCATTTAAATTCGGAGTTTTTATTAACACTTTTAGTATGTCTAATACCAACCAGTCTTTGACCTAGATGAACAATGGACATGCATCATTGGAAAATGTATACATTATTTAAATCCAATATTATTATGTGAATTAACATAACTTACAACATTGTTATCCACTAAATGTGCAATGAATATCACCGGCGGTACATGCTTATTCTCTTCTTCGCATTTTTTGTAGGCATTGGTAAATAAGCAAACACATCGCACCAGAAGCAATTCTACTATGTTAGGAAACTAAATGTACATAAAAACGATCGTAAGTATTAGTGGGTGAAATTGTTTTTTTAATAGACAAATAAAAATTGTTTACTTCGCAGTTGATAAAGGAAACCAAAGTTGCATAAATATGTGTAAATTGAAGTGAATTCGATTGTGCTCCCATAATAGCCCGACACAGCAGGCCTTTACCACGTATAATGTTTAATTCAAACAATTTTGTACACGTGTACCTTATATTGCCTGGGTTTAACTTTTGTACTGTAGATTCGATAGAGGTTCTTAAGATATTCCAATCATTTATCTGTTCGGATAAACTAATAAATAATCAAATAATTAATTAAATATACAAATAATAATGAATAGTTATATTTTTTTTTTTGTTATTCTTCTAAACTATTTTCTTTTTACATACTTACATGGCGTATGTAAAACTATAAAATACAACAAAAAATTGATATTTATTAATAATTAAATTACGTTTGGAAATTAGATGGTTCTTAGAATTTAGTATGTGTATGGAACATGTTAACGGAATTCGCTGTGAAGTGTTGGCACTATGATGCTTTGTTTTTATTTTGTTAGGTACCTGCAGAGTCATATTTGTTTAAAAAAAATGTGTTGTGACCATCATTACTACCAGGCCATCAAAGTCGAATTATACCTGTACAAAGTGATTAAAAATAGATTATTAACAATACCATCGATAACTTGTCTCGGATACTTGTGTCTCTAGACCAAACGAACACATCGTCATTTCCAGACGGCCATTAAGCCAGTTATATCGCAAAGTATTGCTTTCATGGGATCATGCCGTTTTGATTTTATGCAGTAAGTTGTATAGGTATATGTATACAATCGTAAGTTCAATAATCAAGCACAATCATGCATATGTATTTTAATCATTCGTGAAACAATACGTGTTATAGATTTTGAGCGGAGCGATGAATATATTGATTTTACAATGATGTGTATTATTTTTTTAAATTTGTTTATGTGTGATAAGTAGTCGAAATAATACTTCGATTATCGTCTTCAGTATATTGTTCTATGGTAACGTTGATCTAGTTGATGTATTGTAGAGGTCAAAATGTAAAATTAGCAGTAGGCGTTCAAAAGCGCCGGGAAAACAAAAAAAAAATAAGGAAAATTGGGAATTTTTACTCAAAACCGGTTTTCAGTGATTTTTGGTGTAATTCTAAAACAAATGACTACATGAAATACATACATGAAATTTTCACTAAATGTTTATATTAGAATTTTCCATACATTGTAAAACAATTTGAATTGTTTTGAGCTGTTTAGGGACATTTCCAGTATCCTTTTTTAAGTTTTTATTTTTCTATAAATGTCAATAAAATTGTATTCTTTTGGTCAAAAAGCTTGAAAAATGAATACAATCATACTTATATAATATATATAATTTTGCAATGGCAGTTGCAAAATATTAAAAATACAAATGTCACAATATTTTTATAAGCATTTAAAGTTTGAATTTTGATAAAGTACTTAAAAATCATGAAAATTTGCAAATTATTTTGAATAAGAAATTCATAAAAAATTTTCTTTTTAAATCTGAGATTCGAAAATTGAATACAACATTCCTCAAGGAACGATTTTTCTATTTCATTGTGGTTCAAAAACAAATAACTGTAGATACCTGAAATCGACACCATATGTTTATGTTATAATATACTTTACTCGATAATATTTTCAAAATATTTTGACTTGTTTTTAACTGTTTTTCAATTTTCAATTTTTTTAGTTTTTTTTCTGCAAATGTCAATACAATTTGATTTGTTGGGGCGAAAAGCTTGAACACTGAATACAACGTTTCTGATTTATTATTACAATGGCAGTTGAAAAATATATCTATTAAAATATGTATAGTATTAAAATGCTTAGGCACGATTTTTTTATAGGCACTTAAAATTCAAATTTTGAAAAAATGTAAAAATTATTTTGTAATTAAGTATATATGAAATAAAAGCTGAACACTTATATAGCTAAAGATTGAAAATTAATAACAAGGGGTGCATAAGTAGGTTATTTTGTAACCAAAAAATCTAAAAAATATATAAACAGATTTTTTAGATATATCTATTATGTTATGTTTAAATTAGGACGAAATTACGAGTACATTTGAAATAACCAAGAATAACGATTTAAGTTTATTTATTGTAATTTAAAAATATTATTCGTGGGTACTTGAAACTTCTAAAATATATTATTACATACGAATTATATGATAATACGCAAATAATATTAATTTAACCAATCGGCTGGCGGCTATACAGTCGTAATAATAACAATATAAATATAAAATATCCAATTCCGACAAACCGTTTCGCTCAGAAACGTTTTTCGTGTACAATCAATAATCATATCGTATCATTGAATTCAAATTTAAAACCATCCATGACAGTTACCCACTTGAACCTATGCTGTAGGTACAGCAAAGTGACATCCACTCACACGCTTTTTTTTCCTGAACATTAGCGAATGTTCAATTGATGAAAATATAAACTTCTTATATTTGTGTATATAGGAATAACTTACTTATAAGAAGTATTATATACAATTTTTAAATTTTTAAACTCAGAAACAAAAATGTTATTAACACAAAGAAACAATTTCATACGTCTAAAGATAGCCCAAACAAATCAAAATACTTATTAGTATATCAGGTCATTTTACGGTTATTTCTTTCTGATTTACGAAAATAACATCTAAAAAAATTAATACATCAATACCTATATTTTATAAAAAAAATTTAAATGTACCTCATTATTGGCCACAATGCGACTAAAAAGTCGCTAGATAACTGTTCTTTTTCTTTCAATAGAAATTACTTATAAACCAACAAAAAAACTTTAAACAACTTTATAACCATATGATCATGTTACAAATGTTATCCAAAAACAAAATAATTTTTAACTATTACCTTAATTCGTTCTTTTTATCGAAGTCAGTCATGTTTGCCGCATTTCTTTTCGAATCTGAAAAATTATATTAATTATAAGTGAATTTATAATTATTACAGTTAAAAAAAAAGTGTATCTACATTCATTTTATAAACACGAGTTGTATTATAAAAATGTTTGAGTATATTCCACAATATTAAAATTAAAAATTACAGAGAATTATATTAATTTGGTGTTCGTACTAAATGCTTTTAGGGAAGTCAGAAAATAAATGGCGGTGCGATTTTACATTTTCATTGGAAATTAATAATGTATGTAGGTACCTATGAAATTATATAATATGTATTCTTACGCTGTGTCCAACGTGAACACGCGCGGTGAACGCGGCGAACGCGAGCGAATTTTATACTGACGCGAGCGAACGACGAAATACAAGCTGTTTGGTTTTTTGCCGCGTCGTCCGCGTCACATTGGACACAGCGTTATAGTATAAAATCCTTAGTATTATAGTAAATAAACAATGAAAAAATGAGCCATCGCTGGATATCTTGCAGATGTGAAACATCGAAAATTATTCTTTAATTAAAGGGCGCATTAGCTGTTTCAAGCTTTGTGGTTTATGCCCGTTGCGCGCCAGGACGAACAGCCGGTCTCACCCACCGCATTAGATACTTAACATAAAAAATTGACGATGATGAATTAGTATATTATACTTTAGTTTGAAGTTGTTGTAGTTCGAAATTGTTATAAAAATAATATTTTACTTTATTTTATTTTATTGCAATGATTTTAATTTAAATGTATTTCATACTTGATGTTTGGCTATACATAAGATACATCAAATATTTTATGCCCGAAAATGATGGGTAGATATTCAAATTAATAAGAGGGTGGCAATTTCTTATTTTGAAAATGGTGCTTCATGGACCATCGAGGAAAGTGGTCTAGATCAGCGGTTCTCAAACTGTGGTACGCGAAAGACTACATGGTGGTACGTGAAAGGCCGCATGATAGTAGAATGGAAAATTAAAAATACATGTTAGATTGATAATTAGACGTTATTTAATTCATATCTTAATTTTTAAACACTAATAAATTTGTATAAATAAATAAATAATAATATATTGTAGTATTTTACTGCATTTTTATTTAAAATAAATGTATTTAACTATATAAAGTTTATACCGTTTTATTTTTAATCATCAGTGGTAGATTACTGATTGATAATATACTTATACTTAAGTGATATTCGAAAAAAAAAGTTTGAGAACCGCTGGTCTAGATTGTTCTGCTAGCTTTTTTTTAGGAAAGCATCAGTAGAAGTATACTGAGGTATCTCATTTTTGGCTACAGCCACCTGTATGCATAAGCTACCTGCTAATTGCTATAACTATAACTTTCTTTCTTTTCATTTCTGTTACCAAGTATACATTACTATTGTATCAAGCATAGATACCTATATCATATAAATATTTTTTAATATATATAAACTCGAAACTATATATGCTTTCATTATTCATATAAATTCAATAATTATTATTGAAAGACATATAAGTCTATGTTTCTTTAATTATGCAAATATGTTTGAATAGAGATTAACAGTGGATCGTAAATTGTTAATAAGGAAAATTTATATTTTGTAATTAAATACATACAATATGACACTAGACAAATTATATTATACAAAGCATATTATAGCGGTTTTGTACAGTAAGAATTGATAATTGGTTTAATTACGCTGCAATCTAATAAATGAACAACTAGAAAACTAAATTACATTTCGCAATGACTATTTAGGTACTTCTAAATCTAATATTGAATTTTCTCATAATATAATGATAAAGATAGAATAAAGATACAAAGAATATTTTGAAATCAATTGTAACCTGTTAACTTTTTGTATTGATCGGGTACGATTTTTCTAATTATAATTTATATAACAATAAACTAAACCATTTATGTAGGTACACAATAGTTTTACAGGATCCTATTAACAGTAACCTAACCTAACCTAACCTCTCGAAAAGTTGAAAATAAATTTCCTGAAAAGTTGTATGTTAATACATTTATGAAAAAAAAAACTTCTATTTAATATATAACTCATTATAATTATTTTTCCTAGATAAAATATTTTTTGTCACGACTGTACCGAAAGTTAAGTTTTTGGTGACGGTTGAAGCGTTGGAAAGCGACGTTTTCCGTCCAGCAGGCGGTAAAGTGGGAATCTATACAATTTCGAGCTGTAAAATGGAAATCTCAAAAGTGCTACGATATTCACTGCCCAACCGACACTGAAATCTATACCACGGTCCTTATAAAAAACATAAACTTTTGATTACATCTTAAGACGCATTCACAGCTACGTCGTGTGTCGTGTCGTGAATTGTGATTGGACGTCACTTTTTTGGTATCATGTAATTACCAAGTATACCAAGAATTTACTACATCTCAACTTAAATCAATATGGTCACCAGTTGTTACCATTAAGTACCACTCTCTCGCACAACACGACACATGACGTAGTTGTGAATCCGCCTGTATGTTCATAAAATCATCACTTTGCATGACGCGTAAACATTTTTCTTTTGTGAAATTATTTTTGTCAAATAGTTTGGCTGTTGCATAGATCCCTGCATCACCTTTGCCGTGATCGATGAACGCAGAGGCATGGCAAAATATCGTATGTGTGACTCGTGCAGGAAGGCAATTTAAGTCTTTGGTGAAAAGCGGCCCTCGCGTGCGGCTCGTGAAATAGCTCACTTCCACCTTTGATATACAATATACTACAGTAGAGTCCTGCTAATCTGGGCTAGATAGGACCAGACTCTCTCCGGATTATCGAAAATCTGGATTAAACGAAATGACGTTTTTTTTAACTTACTCATTAATAAACACTATAAATAATAACACAATAAATATACTGTCAAAAAACACCTCATGTATTTATACGAATTCATAATATTAGCAAAAAATATCACAATATGTATATAATCGAAACGATAATATCTTAATTATGGGTATTCCCGAATATATATATTATACAAGGTACTAAGTACAAAACATAAATTGTCCGGATTAGCGATGACCTGATTAGCGGGACTCTACTGTATTTCCAAGAATGTTTATATGAAAATTAGATAGAGTGGAACAGCAAAATATTTGTTCACAACTACGGTTATCTTTTTATTATTTATTTCAATGAAATTGTATTATATAATTTATGTGTCTACTGTCTAGTGTCAACACACAGCAATGTGCATATTATTTGATAATGAGGGAAGAAACATGTAATTAAAGTTACGTGATTAAGAAACCCTCCATCAGTCTCACTTGTAAAACTTGCCGGTATTCCTCTCATCTTTTCATTTTTACGTCGGAATCTGTTACAATTACAAGAATAATAATAAGGAATGTGATACAATGATACATTGATATCAGTTATGTAGTGAAAAAAAGGCATTCATCATAGGACGAAGAATCTTCCAACAGGATACACTGATTTTAATATTGAATACTTAAATACTTTAAATTAAGTAATTACTGCAGGTTCAAAATCGATTTTATGTACCTAACAAGATTCTCAGAATAATATTCTGCATCTGCTTTGTAATAACAAATGCATGAATTCATTTAAAAATAAAAATTATAACAATAAAAAATGTTGCAAGTATGTAAAAGATTATATTTTAAGAAACCATAACTCTTTTTAGATAATGAAGTTAAACATTAAAAGATCATCCATTATTATTTACCGTCTATTTTAGATTGACACAAGCTTGTAACATTTTATGAAAATGGAATGCCCCTGCACCATCACATCAAAACAAATGCCTAAGTATTTAAAATTGTTTGACCCAAATTTCTGGGATACGCAAAAGTACGCATGAAGAAATTCGATTTAAACATTGATTTAAATAACAAAATTGACTTAATTCATTTGAAAATAAATTGAAAATAAAATTTATATTAACATTTGCAATGAAAAAAACAACATGAAGTTACTATGTAATAGAAGAATATAGTAAATATACACAATGTGGAATGCGGGAAAGACGGAGGGCTAGGCGCCGGTCACAAAATCTTAACAAGCCCTCTCAAACAATACAATAAGACATAAGAGTAACAAATTATAATGTATTTATAAATACTTAATAAGTACATTATTCCTAACTTGGTCTTACAGAGCTATACTATACTTATAAAAAATACGATGGTACTGGTTCCCCTAAGAAGAATTTTGCCTATTTGAGCCAATGCGTTAATATTAGAGTCCATAATATAACAATAATATAGACTTAGAAGTACGCAAGCCACGATGTCACGGACAAGTCGACCAATGTCCAACTTAAGTAAAATAACATAAATATGCAATAAATCTGGAATAATCAATATACAGGATCAATAAAAATGATATAATAAGTATTATACAGTGATCATAATGATGAATTATTATAGTCGACCGTGGTAGTCTCCGACATGCTTATTTACCTAAAAACATCTGTTCGGGAACATGAACAAACGTGTACGAGTACGCGCAATAAATTGTCGTAGCTGGGTACCATGGTGCTTATATCATTATCGCGAGAGTGCTAAACAATAATATTGTAACAAAATTATTAAACAATAACCAACCGGGTATAGAATACAAGGTGATCCAAAAATAGTTATGAATTATTGTCTTACCCGACTTCGTCGGTGATAGATACTATATAATTATTATTCAAATACTATTTATACTATGTATAATTATTGTACTAATACTATTTATACTATGTATAATATTATTATACTAATACTATTTATACTACGTAATTATTATACTAATACTATTTATACAATAAAATATCCACGACAACACCGGTGTATATGGACGGTATGTCGTACTCACAATATCGTCTGCGATTCAAGAAAGCCGACATGTTGGGCCGCGGCTCATCCGAGTCCGAAGAATAAATGTCAAACACTGCAGCCATCGTGCCGCAAGGGAATGCGAGCGGGGATAGATGATCGACGGCGGTCGGCAGCGAGACTACGAAAAACGTGCTGCGTACGGCGCGCGATTGCCAGTGCGGTGCCGAACAGAATAACAGAATATAGGAACACGGCAATCGGTGGTGTTTGGAAGCGGTCATGTCGGGGAGTCGGCGCGCGCCGCACAGAGCGTCGTCGTCGCCGTCGCCATCGTCGTCGTCGTCGTCGTTGTCGTCGTCGCAGTCGTCGGCGTCACCGGAAACATATTATTTTTCGGCGCGCAGAACGAGATGAGATAAGACTGACCCATGTCCACACGCGTGCCCGGTTGGTTAGGTGGCGTTGACCTTGAAACCGCATCATCGCTGCGCGGTGACATTTTAAACAGGGTGTAGATGTCCAGCCGTCAGAGGGGTCGAACGATATCGCTGCGGACGGATCCCTAGATCGGCCTTGACGCGCCCACGGCGTGTTCGCCTCCCACTCGCCGCGCGCACACGCGCTTGCCTACCCAACAGGTTACGCGTGTCTCGTGTTCGGTTCCCCGATGTTTCGGAACTATTACGACTGATTTTATTATTATTATTATTATTATTACTCTGGTTCTCGGCGATACCAACCCTCGTAATAATGTATTCGCCGTGAATTTAGCTGCACCCTCGACCGGCAGGAGGGTCAATAATTGAACCCCGGCGAGGCAGCTGCGGAATAATTGCATTCGCCGGGTATAGCACATTTTAGGGAGCAACGTCGATATAATATATTTAAGGTTTATTATAATACCATTTGTATACACAAAATAAGATGTCCTGACTGGTTAATACACGTAGGTTGTACGCCTATTATGATTGTTAGAGACTTGACATTTTCGTGGTACCCCCTATACCACAATGTAGGAGCACACTGAGGAAGGATTTTCAAAAATTCACATTTTATTGAGAACTCCTCACACGGGCATTTTGTATCGGCGAATAAAAATTCAATTATTTCTATGTATATAGGTGATATGTATGGTTGGCGATTGTCATTGGTTAGTGGTTACCTACAGAAAATATAATATTTATTATGTTTGGATGAAAATGTTAGTATTGTACTTTATGTTTGGTAATTGTCTTCGACACTTGATATAAATATAGTTTACCGATATTTATTTGGAAAAACCTTGCTTTTCGGAAGGGTAATTATATGTCACCTGTTCTAACGTTAGCATACAGCTTTGGAAAATTGACTCTTTTAACCCACTAATTGCAATTTCGGACGCGCAAAGCGTATGAAACGATTAATAGTATAGAAATACTTATAATATATAATTTATGCAGGTAATTTATAAATTATTGAAAATACTATTAAAGATTATTTTTCATGTGATTAACTTATGTCATTTAATGCATTTTATTGTAAATATAGTTTAACAAAATGTCACGACCTCAACCTCTCCAGAATGGTTTTTGAAATAGCATTTAAGTTAAATATTTATTTATTTTATCTTTGCTTACCTGCCGTTAGTGTCTGTACAAGCTTAAGAATATTATATTTTTCAAGTAAAAATTAAACGCGATTACATAAATTAAAGCTATTATTATTATTATTTATTAAATATTTTAAACCATTTTTGAAAATGTGGAAGCTATTTATTATAATAATAACAACATATTTACTCAAATACTATTATTACTCAAAACCCAATATAGATAGATAGCATATACATTATAGACAAATAGTTCTTTGTAAGATTTTTCTGTAACTGGAGCAAAAATTAAATTTAAAAATGATCAGAAAATTAAAAAATATGTTCATCAAGAGGTTAACAGACGACCGTCCGCTGATCTATACATTATTTACGGTTTTCCAGCACCGAAATGTTTTTCTAACTCATCCCTAGTGACTTTCGCATAGACTTATCGTTATTGTCACATTATGTACCACGACAATATGAGTCGTACGCGTGTCTAGGGAAAGGGAATCAACTTACTGACGTGCATGCACATGACATGTCAATATACCGAAGTTGACTGTTGTAATTAACTCATCAAAAACTGTCAAAACACAATATTATATTAATTCTCAAGGAAAGATAATCGAATTCGTTATAGATATTATGAGCATGCTCTAAAATATAACCACATAGAAGCCGATTAGGAGATATTTTTGACCAGTGATTAACGTGTAAGTAATAGGTACACACTACACATAGGTACCATTTTTTGAGCACAACAATACAAATAAATAGAAGTCTGTAACTGAACTAAATAAATCGTTTTTATTTTCAGATAACAATTTCTTTACGACATTATGCTTTTGTTTAAATATTATTATTGAGTATAAGTGTAGGTATATAGGCACAATGTAATATTTGTGTTTCAAAAAAAAAGTTTTAAAAAGTGTAATAAAAGTTAATGTGGATACTGTTGTACTGCTGTATAATATTATGTATACAACTGATCAATAGTTCATTGATATTAACTACTTAAAATATGGTCTATATGAAATATTATTACTTAGAAATAAATAATATTTAAAGTGAGCAGACTTTTTCTATGTACAGACCTCTTCAGTACCTTCCTATATATAAGGATGAGACTTCGAGAGCCTGTATATAAGTCGCAAGAATATAATATTTTAGTTTAAATTTGTTTTACAGTGACATTTACAGAGTAATTTTACCACACTAGTTTATACTGAATAACCATTTAAATTATATTGTGTAATTTTTATTTATTATCATTATGGCTTAAATCGTTTCGTATGTTTTTAATATTTAAAGCAATTAATTTTTACTTTATACATATATAGACGCAGCCAAGTGTAATTTAAGAAAAATAGTAAATGTCAAATGTTAAATGTTATCGATTCCGATTTCTTTGTTAATGTCATTGGAAATTAGATGGAAAACTTTTTATACGAATTACATATCCACGAGTTGCATGCAAAATTTTCTTATCTGCCTCATTATACCGAATATTTTTAGTGGTCAACTATCCCCCCACCAACATTTATTATTTATAATTCCACACTTGAACTGTTGAACCCAGTTATTATAATTGTGTATACAATATTATTTTCTGGCTCACAAAGCTCCTCTCGACAAACCACGGTTGGGTGATTATAATATATACTATACGTTCTATATACACTTATGTCGATTGCAAGTAAAAGAAAAAAACTGTAACATTCATAATTGCCCATTAAAAGTGATGTTGAACAAATATGCTATTTAAACTATAAATTATAAAAACGAATAGGTTTCTTTTTTTATTTAGATATAAATAAATATTAAAGAGAGGGTTGAGTCTTGAATATCACTTAGACAAACACGATGATCATCTGAAGACACTGAATACACTGTATCACGCAAGCGTAAACATATATTGATACTATATCCTAGACTAGAAATATTCGACTGACCTATAGGTGGCAGTTGCCTAATCATTAAATGAACTTGCACCCCTAAAAAAGAGGGAAAATATGTAACCCTTTTGACTTACAGTAGGTGTCGAGTGACTGAGGAGTAAATTACTTTTGTAATGTGTCTATTAAATGTGAATTCTATGATAAATCATTGCTTATAACTAAAACGGTCCTGAGCGAAGACAGACTGTCAGCCTATATCACTAAGTAGATTTTATAATAACTCTGTTAACTTGTAATTTGGTGAAATAATGTAATATTAATATTGTACTATAGCAAACAATAGTAAACAATAGTAAATTTTATATTGACTTTATTTTCAATTTTATTTGGAATTCTGAAGTTTTTATCGTTTCTGAATCATAAATTAAAAAATTAATAAACAGTTTCTACTTTTATGATAACATAAAATTGTAATATTTAATCGCAAAAGTCGTAATATTATGCATACATCGTATACTGCACGCCTGCATACAATTATAAAGTCTAGAACCAACCTTTTATTCGGTTTCCGGTCTGATACTCAGATAAAGAAATACAAATACTCAAACACAGAACATTAATCATAAATCAATCTCTTTTAAAAATTACAACCACTTATCCAGTGTCATAAAATAATACTGTCGGACAGTTTAAACAAAGAATGCGTAGGTAAGCAATATCGATAGAAGTTAAAATATACAACGTCATTGCGACAAATTACTTGTAACAGTACCTGCTAAATGTTGTGGGTGATTTTTTTCGATTGTTTTTAATTTTTCATTTGCGTAAAATGCGTAGCAGCTCCGTGATTGACGACGGTGACCCTCGATAAAGGTTGGGATGCAACATATGCTGCATATGCTAGTCCCCGTATTCGAGCATACGATTGTCGTGAAATTAATAACTACCCATAACCATGGTTTTAATAATATATTAATTATTATTCACATAACAACGCTGTCGTAATTTTACGATACACTATGTCAAATTATAATTCGTGGGTACCTACAAAGTATACTGCTTGATGTCTGTATGTGTATATTTTTTAATTTTAACACAAAAATATTGTCTTGGAAAGTATATTTTTATTAAGAGATGCACATAATATATCTTCTCGCCGGACTTATGACCTTCATTAATAATGGTGACCTACGAGAATGTTTCGCATCACAAGATATTAAGTTTCACCTCTGTAATGCCCTAAAAGGTTGACATATTGTCGCAATGACACCATATTATCCTAACACATAGGTAAACAGTGAAATGCATATTGATGGTGTCTGATAGCACAATTAATATCCATTTTGGAATTTAACAGACTATTAAACACTTAATAGTCACTCATTAAAATCACTAAACTATAAATAATATTGTCTCATTTAATTGTATCGTGAGCAATTTGATTTATAAAATATGAACTGTATGTATACAACTGGACATAACATTTGTAGGTAAATGTCTTTTTTTTTTTACCAACGAGAATTCTATGATCAAATTTACAACACCGAATGAATTATTTGTAAACTATGACCTGTGTTCGAGTAGCGATTCGGTAGATATGTTTTTATTTTAGATTCTGAGAGAAGCGATGAATGTATTTGATATACAATAGTGTGTTTTTTTTTCGATTGTGTTTGTGTACACGATAACGATAAGTAGTCGAACTAATGATTAGATTTTTAACTTCAGTATCTTTTCCGGTGG